ATAATTTGCCCAGAGAACCTTTCAGTAATGAAAGTCGAGGCTTGAATTTTTTCTTCAGTTCCTCCAGCATGTTCTTCCTTTTTGGTTTTCTGACTACAGATCTTTGCACATTTTGTTGTAATATTTAGCTTTATCTTTTCAAACTGATCTTTTAATTTCTCTATTCAGCTTTTGTACCTACTCATTTCTTGCTTTAGCATCTCTATACTGGAGAGCAAGTTTCAGTGTCTCTTCTGACATCCATTTTGACCTTTTCCTTCTTTCTTGTCTTCTTAATGACTTTGCTTTCTTCATGTATGATATTCTTGATGTCATCCCACAAATCTTCTGGTCTTCGGTCTTTAGTGTTTAATGTATCAAATCTGCTCTACAGATGATCTCTAAATTCAGGTGTGATATATTCAAGGTCATATTTTGGCTCTCATGGCCTTGTTTTCATTTTCTTCAGTTTCAGTTTGAATTTGCATATGAGCAATTGATGTTCTGTTCCATAGTCTGCCCCTGGCCTTCTTTTGACAGATGATATGAAACTTTTACATTGTCTCTTTCCACAGATGTAGTCAATTTGATTTCTATGTATTGCATCTGGTGAGGTCCATGTGTATAGCCATCTCTTATACTGTCTAAAGAAGGTATTTGAAATGAACAAATAATTGATTTTGCAGAATTCTATCATGCGATCTCCAGCATCATTTCTATCACCAAGGCCATATTTTCCAACTACTGATCCTTCCTCTTTGCTCCCAACCTTTGCATTCCAATCACCAGTAATGATCAATACATCTTGATTGCATGTTTGATCAATTTCAGATTGAAGAAATTGGTAGAATTCTTCTATTTCATCCTCAATGGATTTAGTGGTTGGTGCGTAAATTTGAATAATAGTGGTACTAACTGGGCTTCCCTTTTGGTGCATGGGTATTATCCTATCACAGACAGCGTTGTACCTCATGACTGATCTGGATGTGTTCTTTTTGACAATGAATGAAACACCATTCCTCTTCAATTTGTCATTCCCGGCATAGTAAACCATGCGGTTGTCAGATTCAAAACGGCCAATACCAGTCCATTTCAGCTCACTAATGCCTAAGATATTGATGTCTATGCATTCCATTTCATTTTTGACAACTTCCAATTTTCCCAATTTCAGACTTCGTACATTCCATGTTCCAACTTTCAATCGATGTTTATAGCTGTTTCTCTTCATTTTGAGTTGTGCCCCATCAGCAAATGCAGGTCCCTCAGGCTTTTGTCCCACAGGCTTTACTCCATTCGTGTCATCACCATTAACTCTACTTTGAGGAGGCAGCTCTTCTCCAGTCACATTTTGAGTGCCTTGCAACCTGAGGGTCTCATTTTCCAGCACTATATTTTATCTAACAGCATTTCTCTGATATTCATAAGGTTTTCAGTGACTAAATATTCGGAAGTAGTTTGCACACCTCATTCCTAGTCTGTCTTCATCTGGAAGCTCATCTGAAACCTGTCCTCCATGGGTAAACTTGCTGGTATTTAAAATACCAATAGCATAGCTTTCAGACTCACAGCAACTCACAAGCCACCACAGTACGACAAACTGACAGATGAGTGTTGGTACCATGCTATAGGGGAGGTAAATAATGTAACACAAATGGCAGGATAGAGTAAGAAGTTCTTTCCAAAATATGTTGGAGTCTTTCTGATTGTCACCTTCTCTGGACTCACTTACTGGCCCCACTTTAAAATAGAAGGGGAAATTTGTGGTAATAGGAAGTGTCACTGCACAAACAAACTCTGGGGAGATTTTGTGGAAGTCTGCTTTAGCTGTAACAGTATGGGTGATTTACACTGTAATCATAATGCATACGTAGATTCTCATCTACCCATTAGAAGGGATAGCCTCAAAAGGCATATAATAGAGTTAAACAAATAACCTAGGAAAAATAAATCTAATATTCACAACACGGTACTTTACACAAACAAGAAAAGCAGTGATTGAAAGATACAACCATTCAAGATAGCACTGAGGATCACAGACAACTCAGTGTGCTTCCTGCACCTTTGCATGAACAGCCAGAACTTTGCAGAATGGCTAAACACTGGGTGACATTTGTATTTTACTGAATTAAGAGTCCTGGGTAAGCGGAAATATCAAATAAAATGTGTTATTTTGAGGGCACATTTTAACAGTTTCACTCAGAACACTTTTAATCATGAGATTGGCCGTTAATATGAAAGACTATGGAGTTGTGAACCATTCATGGTTATTAGGATTTAGGAATAAGTTTTTGACCCTCCCAAGTGTTGTAGGATCCAGCTAGGGAAGAAATAACTTATGTGGTGCTAATAGTTAACATGCTCAACTCCTAACCAAAAGGCTCAAGTCTATCCAAAGGCACATCAAAAGAAAGGCCTGCCAGTCTACTTCTGAAAAATTAGCCATGGAAAACCCTATGGAGCATAGTCCTACTGTAACACACACGTGGTTGCCATGAGTCAGGGTTGATTGAAAGGCAAGTGATAATTATACCTGATTGTCCAGGAGTCCAGGTTAGACACTAATGGGATACATTTATATACAATGCCTTTATGCCTAAGAAGGAACTCATCAGTAGGTGGAGCTTGGAAAAAGTCATCCCATTCACATCTTTCTGATCTCTCATCTCAACTAGGCTTACACAGAAGCAAGCTCACACTTCAGAGAAAAATGAGGAATCAGGAATTGTGGCAAACTGGAATAAGTCTGGCAAAAACATATGTCTGTTGTTGTAGTTGTTGTTAGGTGCTATCAAGCTGGTACTGACTCATGGCGACCTTATGAACAACAAAACGAAACACTACCCAGTCCTGCACTAACCTCAAAGTCGTTGCCACACTTAAGCCATTTGTTGCTGCCATTGTGAAAATCCATCCAGTTGGGGGTCTTTCTCTTTTTCTC